TCTCAATGTAATGTTAATGTTAAACGACAAAATATTTCAATGAAAAGAATATATTCTATCAGATCACATAAAAATAAAATCTTGAATTTCAACTCGAAACTTTATATGAATAGAGTCCCTAATGAGAATATTTTCCTTTTGTTTAAGAATAAAACCTATATCGATAAAACTGAAAGAAATCCAATCTTTATGAATACTCATGAAATGTTCTATTGGTCTCAAAATAGGCATTTTTTTTTAAATAGGAGCTCATTGTCTTACCATTCCGTAGTAAAGATCTTGAAGTTCAAGTAGATAATATTAGTATTCATCGCCTAGTAAATGGATGTTTCAAATAGAGTCCTGTGGGAACAATTTTTGTCGTTTCCACAAGCCTTTTAAAAACCATATAAAGACTTGAAGATATTGTTATGTACTTGAGAAAAATTGTCTTTAACAGAACATATAAAGAATTTGTCTGACCTTTTGTAGTTGCGCAATGTTTATTGCTTTCTCAGCTATATATGTAGTTAGAATTGAAAGAAGTTTTGATTGCAACGGTATATTTCAATGCACATAAACAATGTTCGGAGACGTTGATTGTTGGGATCGTTCCCATTTCTGATTACCGCAGGCGATGAGACGGGAAAATTCGAGAAAAAAAGCATTCCCTCCAGACACTAATTTTAAGTCATGTTTTAGTTGAACTACTTATGCAAATAATAAGAGGACATTTCATCTTCATCTTTTATTCACTTAATCGTATAAAGTAAACCGGTCACTGTTCTTCTAGATACTGTGACCTCATTGACCGATTGTATTTGTTGCTTACATTTTTCTCTATTTATTATTTCTCTCTCCTATATATGGTCGTGTTCTATGTAAAATATTTAGAACTAACATGATGAAGTAGTGTAATGAACACCATACATTAAGAATAGCAGTAACGCTACTTCTCCAGTTTTTCAATGTTAATCAACAATAAAATAAATACTGCAGCAGTAATGAAATAGCAGGTACATATTTCGTTACACTACTATAATTCAGAATGCATATAGAAGTAGAACAATGTTGATGATTATCGTATATTCATTTATTACATGCAATTCCTATACTCCAAACTGTCGGAAACTTATAAAATATTCATATTCATTATCCACTATGAGAAACTTAAAGAGAAATTATCATATGAGCATTTCTCTACAGGTAATGCAAATGGTGATACTGCCCCGTTCAACAATATTCGATTTCTCTTATCATAATAAAATAAATGTTGTGATAAAAAAGAAATATGATGTAAACAATGACAAGATTATAGCATAAATTACTTCAAAAACTTTCAAACCGCTTTTTCTTAATCGACTAATATTGATATAATTGATCATTAGAATAATAATGAACAGATATAATGATGAGTCATTTTTATATGAAATATAGATAATACTAAGGTCGAATATGATTTACGACGGTTCCTTCTGTAGTCTTATTATTCATATTTTCAGTTTGAAAGTCAGTTGAAGGAGATGCATGTTGATTCTATGAGTAGTAAACAATTGTTAATATGATTATATTCAATAACTCTCTAATTATTTTTTCGAAATTGAAATTCTTTAATGATCGTTGTATTAGTAAAAAGAAAATAAATCGTAATAAGATTATAAAGCTCAGGAAAATTTAATTCATAATTTTTCAATTTATCATTTTAGCATTGGATAATCATGATAAATAATTATCATTGTATCAATAATGAATAGATCTAACAAATTGTTTCACTCAAGAGTTTTTCGTCAATATTTTCAAATGAATAATAATTACATCTATGCCAAATAGCCATCAACGTTATTTAGGGTTCAATAATCTCTAATTTATAATTTACTAATACAATTCGAAAACTTCGAATTTATTTCTGAATAAATACTGATAATCATTAAATGTGAAAAAGGTTCAAAATATTTTAATTTATTTGAAAATAGAATTCTTTTTGATATAAATGATTTTAATATAAATATTAAATAATTTTTAAGATTATATTATATTCAAGAAAATTTTCATTTATTTTATCATGATGCAATTTTATTTGTTTGAAATTGATCTTTTCGACATTAAATTTCTTTGACACTTAATGATCGAACTTTTATTTATGAAGAACTCTCATGAAGATTTAAATCGAAATTTTCTGATTCATCTTTTCAAAATCAAATTTGTTTTCCTCGTAAATGATTATGAAATCAATCAAAAATAAATCTTAGCATTCATTAATTAAAAAAAAAGATTTGAGTACAGATATTCAAAATCAAACTACAGTAATGATAATATACCTATAATGAGCAAATTATAGCACTATGCACTTCAACGATTTTCGATTTATGCTTGAAAACTAAAATCATTTTGGGGTACTGCTGACAAACATTTATTACACAGAAATCTTATCATCATTTTGTTTGAAATGAATGCAATTTTTTTTCTACATGCATTGTTAACATTAGTACTGGTCAATAAATCTTACCATCATGAAGTGCAATCCACATTGAGATGATCATATGGATAGTTAATAAATGCGAAGATGATTCAAGTGAAAAATTTCTCATTTGAACTCTGTAGATTATCTGTAAATCATTATGAACATAAGTCTTATTAGAATTTCATTGTAGAATTTTTGAGTTACCATTTAATAATCGAATTCCTTTTTCAAAATTACTTGATAATAATATTAATATAGAAAAAAGTTCCATCATTATTCAGTTCCTTCAGAAAATCTAATTTATTTTAAAATAAATGTAAATCATACTGTTATATACACACACACGCACTAAAAATCCATTGCTTCAGAAATGTTCGATTTAGTTTAACATTTTGAAACTAATTAGATTTCGAGACAATATCAATATTGAAAACATGTCAGTGTTTCTACTTAAAAATATCATTTACTTAACTTGTCACGATTGGAGTTGTGTTCTGAGGGACTATGATAATATCAATAGTGAATAAATCTCATCATCATTTCATTGACAGATATTTTACTTAAATTAATAAATTCAAAACTTTCGAAAGATTTACTAGTGATCTACGAGCTTCATTTTCAAGAATTTATTGAAACTAGGGTGTGAGTGTGAATGAACGAAGCATTATTATCCAAAGTCATACTCCTATTAATGGCAACTATAAATCTATGAAATAAGTTTTACAATTTATGCTATAATGTTTATTTTAAATGTTCGAAAATGTACTTTAAACCGTTTAGTCTTGGACATAAGATTCTCTGTTATTATCTTTATTACTTTTACCTATTTCACCCTTCAGAAATTCCGAATAAAAATGATTGATAATTTATCACACAGATATTGCAAAAGTAAAAATATATCTGACGGAAGAAGTCTTAAGGATTTAGGTGTCGACGTAGGTGAATGTAGATGTGGGTGAGTGAAGTTGAGTCTCAACATGAGTATGGCTAGGCGTGCACTGTTTCGGATCGATACATCTACAATCACACCCACACTCACACCCTTTCCAAGAAACTCATTTATTTTTCCGAGACTGATCAATTTCCAGAAATTGAATTCAGTTTCCCTTAAAGATATCCGTGAACATAAAGGACTTAATAGTCAAAATGGAAATATGCATCGTATTAGATATGGTCATCAAAGGTATCGTACTTTTACATGTATTCAAAATGCTGAAATTCTAAAAATTCGACAGACATTACATCGCACGAGATCGTCGATAGCAGTCAATATGTCCGCATTGTCCATTACGTCCATGATAAATCTCTTAGACATGTCCTTGGGTTAAAATGAGTTTCCAGGAAATTAATACAACGCATCGAATCCAACTATCGTTATGTTAAACAGTACAAAATGATATGACCAGAGAGAGTTGTAATCCTAGCAGAATTTGGTACAAAACTTGATGGTCTTCGATTATATACAATTACTTCAATTTTTAATCCTTATAAATAGAATTTTTTCATATAAAAGTAGAGTATACCCACACCTCTACTAACTCTGATGAAATGTGATTTTATCTCTTACTTCTTTTCTTCTCTTTCTAACGCGGTTCTACTCTCACAAATATCGATCCTAACAGAATATTAATTCTGGTAATAATGATCCAGTTTACGATTTACTCCTAAATACTATTCTTAACCTTTGATCATACCACAAAGGTTTCTATTATCCCGAAAGGAAAGTGTGTTGCGGTAGTGGTCATTGTGATACTCGTTTTGACGATGAACGCTATTGTCTAGCATGTACAAATTCTCGTGGCGATGTTTGTTCTTTAGCAAAGTATTTTGATGAAGGAAGTTGGAGACACTATTGAAGAAAGTCAAGTAAAGCTAGTGATAAGAACAATATGGAATAGATATGAATTAAGTCATCATCTCTATAGGAAATTTTTAATGAGTAGTTTAAAAAATGTTATGATATCATAGAAAAAAATAAAATATACAGAAGAGTCATTTGCATATTTTTTCATTTTTTATTCTTAACGAAAGAATTGATTTATATTTCTTTATAAATATAAAGATTTCATTGATCTTTTTTTAAAACTATATTTACTTTTCAAAGGTAAAACATTTCTATTTATGCAAGAAACTAAACAGTATTCTTTTTCGTATAAAGTAGCGGTTTTGAATTTTCACTACAACTCTGAAAGCATTATATCAAATTTGGTCGAATATTGGGTACGGCTATCCGAATATGGATGCAGAAAGTTGTTTCCTTTTAGGATACTAGTGTACGGTTGTGAATTGATGGTCTTCTTCTGACTCACATTCACACTTTTATTTCCATTTGTGCTATTAGGTACAATAAATATGTATTGTAAATTTTATTAGTGAATATTTTCTTCAGAAAACATCTGAATCGTTATAAAAGGATAGAATCCGATATATTTACTTTTCGATGTGTCTAAGGTGAATGGTATAATATTAGCTTTTAAGAAAATTTTGAAAACTAATTTAAAAACAAAAGAAATCTAAGACATTTAATAATAGTTTTTTCGTTAAGTTTGTTTCGATTAGTTCAAGAAAGTCTTGTGTTTTTTGAATCATTTGGAAACTCATATTCATATTGTTTCATTATAATCTCTCGAGTTAGTTTTGTAGCGTTGATTTGTACTTGAACCATAGGATTTTGATGAATTTTCTTAATCAATTCATAAATTTTGTACAGCTTATCAAAGTCTTTATTTGACTCGAGGTGATCGAAACGTTTTTTAAAAGTATGCATGAGTTCTGTAAGCATTTCAGCCAATATTTTATTCATGTCATGTGATTTTTGACTTCCACAGAGATTATTTTCTTCATTAATCATTTGTTTTATACCAATCCAAAATGGATCATCTTTTGATGAACAAGATATATGCTTAAGAAAATAAGCAAATTTAACACTTGCTTCAAGCAGTAAATTAATGCTTTTCTCTGTTTCATCTTTATCATAGTTCGAACGGTTTTTCGAATGTGTATAATCGAGTTCATAATCGACTCTAGTATGCTGATCGGTAGTACATGGACAAGATAAACATTTCTTTCGCATTTCATGAGCCGGATTTCTTGTAATCAAAAATTTGCCTATTTGAATTATATTCGGTTTGCATCTGTAACAAATAGCACCTGGACGATCAAGAATATGTGGTTCTAGTGTAATCGATCCACTCGACGCATCATTCTTATATATAATAGAATTTCGAAGAATATTCCGCATTGCTTCTAGCATTGGACGAATTATATAACTAATTTCAAATTGAGCTTGTTTAATCGACTGTCGTCCACCTTGCATATCATAAGTACTCACTTTAGCGCATATGTAATCAAGAAGTCGGTTTGATTCTTCAACTGATTTTGACCAACTATTGTTATATTCTGAATGTTCAATTGTATCGAATTTAATATTATTTTGTAGAGCAACTAAGTACCGAAATGATTCATTATCGAAACAGAATGTATTCTCTTTTTTGAATGGAATTTCACCAATTTTTATTGATTTAAGAATAGATTTAAGTAGAGGGGCTGTATCTCCTGGAGTATAAAATGTTGATCGTGCATTAGTAAAACAAAAGATAACATTTTGACATGCATTTGAACCAAGAAAGTCGAACAGTTGATTAAGATATGTTGCGAAAAATACGTTAATTCTTGATGTATTTGGCTTAAGAAGGAAACATATGGCGTCCAAATGTGTTAAATTATTGATATATTCTAAAGTATATTGCATATTGATATCATCTTGATGAACACCACGTGTATCACCAAAACCAGGCGTATCGATAATACGTATTTTCGTTGTATTAATATGATTAAAATGAAATACATATGATCTACAATTTTGTGTTACTGATTGACCAGGATGATCAAAGTCTTCATTGTTGAAACTATCTAAATCACCAAATTTTACTGTATGTTCTTGAAAATTATTACCAGTTGTTATAACAAATGAAACAGGTATGATTACAACAGGTTTGCCTTGTTCAGCTACTTTAAGTGTCTTATGTGTAAGATAATTTACAAATGCATTAATAAAGGTCGACTTGCCTACACCAGTTTCACCAAGAAGAAGAATGTTAATAGTATTATTTGTTCGTTGTATTATTGACTTTGGTAATGATGTTTTAGGTACATTAGAAGTTTGTATTTGTTTGTTTGGTAAGGATGAATCTTGGTTATTTGTATTTCTTTCTTTTTTAAGTTTAGTTGATGATGCTGATTGATTATTGTCGGGTAATTCACCATTAGGAAGAATTGTTTGATTTTGTTGGTTCTTTTGAGGTTCGAACAACTGTTTGTTTTTGGATTCTGCTTGCTGCCAAATATTGAGCGATTGTATTTTTTCTTCTATATTTTTTATTCGCTCCCACAGTTCATGAATATTCTTTTTGAAACTCGTTTGATCATCATTTTTAAATGCTTGATCGATCTCATAACTTTTCTTCGCGCTACTATGAATTTCCATCATCAACAATTCATGTTGTTTAATTTTATTTTCATACTTTTCTTGTAAGTTATGCCATTGGATTCTTGCTTCCTTGACTAAATTTTTTAGATGGTCAGGAAGATCCTTTTTAGAATAAACATCGAAGAAATATTTCATTGTTTTGAAATAGTTCATAATGTCTAATAAATGTTTTTCGAAATTTTTACTGTTACTTTTTTCCAATAGAATGTATTTTGAAAATGACAACTCATAACGAGCACCGCTATATAACCAGTCCATGGGTCGTAGAGTGTATTCACATTGGCGGGATTTCTCACGTTTCTCTTTGGATCCATCTATGAAATCACAAATTTCGAGAAATGACATCATTTCTCTCAATTCAGATATATTCGAATATACTTTAGTTACAGTAATTTTGTTAAGCAAACTTTTGTCATTTCCATTGAAGTCAGGTATCTTTCCAGAGTTCTCCAAATGACTTCGAACTTTTTCAAGTGCAACATCGATTTGTTGAGCAATATTACTTTTTGGTGGCAATTGCAGAACGATAACGGCGTCAATACCGAAACTTACACAAGAAATAATGTGAGTAGCAGTAGATTCGGGTCTCTCTAATACATATAATTTGTTTACCTCTACTGGATCTTCAGGAAGCTTTACTTCGTGACTAACATAAAAGAAATGCACAAAGCGAGTATACTGGTCGATTGGGTGATAGTGATCACAGAGTGCAGCTACTCCTTTTCGTAGCTGTGGATTTACTAGGATTTGTAATCGCAAATCATTATCAACGTTGATCCACTCAAGAAGATTTCGAGACTTCTCTATGTTACCATCTATGACTTCGCATTTTATTGAATCGAGAACTTTTTTTTCACCATTAATGTTTGATGGTTTTATCACACAATTTTTATATATATCGTAGAATGAACCGATATTCCCGTTTGGATCAATTGCTCTACGTTTAATACTAGACGGTGTCGTCATTTGCGCTTCGATTAATATGTTCCTGCACTTGACACGTCACAAGTATACCTTGTTCACTAAAATAATCCAGAGCATAAGTCATGTTAAGTTTTAAAAGAAGGAATGATTGAATTAATAAAAAGTTTTGCACAAGTTTCGTATAGATATGTATACGACTAAATCTTAGTAATGTAATGTCTTACTAATAAATAATGTCTCTCAATAATAATATTTTTATTCCACTTAACTATAACAACAGATTTTATGCATCAAACTTGTAGGCTTTCTGAATTTTGCCATATGAGAATAAATTTTACATTGAAGGAAAACATGATTTAAGCTCTTGAAACTGAACATAACATCCTGTATTTTATCGTGACTAAAATTCGTGTGTATTATACGTATTAGGAAAGTTTTCGAATTCTCAAATAGTCTATACATCCAAGATTTAGAAGTGCAATATACCCTTCAACATAAACCTATTGGTCTCAGTTGATACGCAATAGTATAGCGTATTCAGTCTAACCAGTGTAAAACTAATTATTGATAGTTTTCATTTGATCGTTTAATTTTTACAAATAACATTTTGTGTACAAAAGTGTTTAGATAAGAAGCTAATTCAATTCTAATGAAAAGTTAAACTAATATATCAATTACCTATCGTAAAAACTCGGTTGATAAAAACTGAAGAGCCATAGGTGTTGAAATTTTTTATATTACGTTTTTTTGTTATGATTTATAAAAAATCTTTAACTTCATAAAAGTTAAACAATATTTCATTTGTACATTTTATGATTTATATAAATAAAAATGTAAAAGATATATTTAAATCTTTTTACCTACTGCTATTCCTGTTTATGCGTTGAAAATGATGCACAAACAAGTCATTATATTAATCTAAAGTTCATTAGAATACGCGTTACAAAGCAATAATAACTCTACGAAACTTTGTAAAAAAAAAACAGTCATTCTCATTTCTTATCTCGGCAAAAACCAACTTTCACTCTCTGCTTTAAGTAGATTGGATGAGGAGAATATGCTGTTTAAATATATTACCTTTTTTGTTGATACATAATACTTTCTAGAAAAAAAAAAGAAAAAGAAACCTTAACGTCAATAACAAGCTTTGAAAGAATGAGAAAAATGTACTTCAAACGAAGAAAAAAAGAAATATTTTTTTATGCAGACGGTACGAAAATTTTTTTTTCTTGAAAGCACATATAAAAAGCAAAATTTCAAGTTGCTTAATGTGATGACCGTACAAACATTTGAAACGAATTCATATTACATCATCTTATCGATGAGATAGTAAAATATTTGAATAACAAATATGACTATCTTTACATAGACATGCTCACTGATATTACCCTCATGTCATTTGTTGGTCCATATTAAAATTTTTCTACTACAGTATCTACAAAGCCATTTCATGTCAGTTTTTGAATCCACTAGCACGTTTCTCCGTCATAGTAAAGAAAAAATCATATATGAAAATTTTCAAATTATTATGAATTTAATGCGACAAACATCATAATATATAATAAAAATTCATGCTACAATTAACAAGAATATTTAGAAAAAGAAATGAATAAACATTGATTTTTTCCGAATATATACCAGTCTTTAGTTTAAAGCCATTTTCTGTTCAAAACCGTCATACAGAGAGAGAGAGAGAAACAATTTATTATCAAATATAGTACTTTTTTTCGTTCATATAGATAGTATGAAATTTATCACTTGAATTTCTTAAAGTTTGTTATAACAGGATTACTCAGAACTCATCGAAGATAAAAGTGAAAAGGTCTTGGTATAGTATGTTTGGTTTGCCAAGGAATGACTTACAAATTATGATAAAGAATAAGATAGTGTTAAAGGAAAAAAACAGGACTGTTTTTCTTGATGGATCTTCTTCCAATTGTGTTTTTAGTAGTCATCATGCTTTCGTCTCATATATATTTTTTGTTGGCAGAGTATATTCAAACTGGCTTTTTCTTATGTTATATATGCAATTAATCAAAAAGAAGAAAAAAAACCTTCCATCATGCAGGCCTTCATGATATTTGAGCTATTTGTTCAGAAATAAAACTCAAAAAAAAAAATCATTTCAGGAATTTTTTTATGACTCAATGGAAAATCTTAATTACGTAGGACACTGTTATTTTCAAATACGTATTTGAAACTTATACCAAATCTGAAAAAATATATCGATAGAGTCTATTATCTATTTGAATTCTTGCCATCACAGTAGATAGATTCACAGAAGTATCAATGGATTAATTTATCATTTTGTTCATCTATCTTCATCAGAATGAAGCCCAGACAATAGAAGTTTATTGTGCTGCGATTAGTCAAATTTAATTATTTATAATTGATATGAAACATTTCTGGCATCAATATTTATAAAGAATAAACTACCATTCTTATTCTATTTTATCTATTGATGACATAGTTGAAAAATCATTTCCTCGTATAAGAAATGTACTATACTTTTTCGAACGCAAAATCCGAGTTTCTACCTTAGGATTCTTCTTTCTGAAGGAGTCCGTCGAGATGCCAAACATTACCTAGTTTTTTTTTCTTAATAAAGCATCGTTTTCATTATGCAAGGAAAAACTTTGGTAACTTGGCGCTCATTTTTAGATTTTTTTCTGAATTATTCAGCTTATAATCCTTTTTCTCGATCTAAAAAGCGAGAGTCTCAAGAAAAAAGACTCTGTGGTAGTCTACATGCTCTATCAAACAAAACAGGTTTTAACATATTGAAAGAAATCACACGGACAAGAATGAATTGCAACATGATTTACTGTTTGTTCTGGTTTGGTTGATAACCTTGTCAAACATAAAGGTATAGTCTTGAAAACTTTTATCATGGTGCCTTCATTTTAGTCCGAAGTTGCCATGGAAATTTCAGAGCATGTAAATGTATTTCGTGCTGAATCAGATTTTTAGGACGAAGCCATAAGAATTTGAGGTCAGAGTCACGCTTTTTGTTGAGAATTGATCTATTCATAACGAGTTAGTAAAACTCAAGTTTATTTTGTCGTTGTTTTTCACTCATTAGTCATTGATTGTTCAAATTTATGCTCATGTAAAAGATTGTCTGTCATCTTAATAACTATTCCGTCTTGATGAAATTATAAAGCTAAGAAACATTTAAGTTTATTATGAGTATCACATTAAAACTATTTATGCAATTATTTGAGGTGTGGGTGGTGTGAGTGTGCGTGGGTGTGGGTGTGCGGGTGTGGGTGTGTGGGTGTGGGTGTGTGTTGATGTGGGTGGGGGTGTGGGTGTAGATGCACAGATGACCCACATCTACACCCGCACCCACACCCAAACCCACACCCACACCCAAACCCACACCCACACCCAAAAATATCAACTGATATATTTACAATACAGATTAATAGAAAATATTGAATAAATCCACATAGAAATCATTCATACTGAAAAACTCAATGAATTGTCTTTGAATATTAAGAAATTATTCGGAAATAAATCTAATATAAATTTTTCAAAGAATCGATTTCTAGTATTTAGTAAAGAATAAAGATCATTTATATACACGAATATATTAAAATATTTTTTGAAAAAGATCCAAATGCTAAATGACTAGAAGTATTTATTTACATAAATCAAAATTCAAATAATTATTTTGAAAATAATTTCTTTATTTCAATAAATAAAATTAAATAAATTTTATCAATTAGGATTAACAGAGAAAGATAAAAGTGATTTGATACAATTAGAAAATACTTTTAAACAATTACATGGATAGATAAATAACATGGAAAATTGTTCTTCTTTCGATAAAATCAATCCATATGATGTTTAAAATTTCAATGATTTAATTCATATTAATAATAATAAATTAAAAATCGATAGTGCTCTATTTGAGTGTGGGCGTGTGTAGGTGTTGGTCTTGATCTTGTTTTCATTCACACCCACACTCACCCATCCGTAAACGAAACGGCGCAAAATATTGTTTCCTATAGCTCTTCGACACACATGTTTTGAAAGGAATATATTTTTTTTCAACAGCTGATAGGAAA